AGAAGAAGAGGAAGAAGAAGAAGAAGAGGAAAGCAGCGGCTAATGCGGGAGATGGTGCGTTATCAGAACAGACACAGCTTGTCTGCCAGGGCTGAGTTATTCCTGGAGACCCCAGAAAGCCCCCGCTTTCGCTTTGTGCCCTGCGGGAGGGGATTTGTGGGCTGGGCGGCGTGAGGAGTGTGGGCTGTGGGTCTGGTGTGCGTGCTAAAGCCCTGGAGGGCTTCAGTATTACCTGTTTTCTTATTCCAGCACTAATATTTGAACTTTAATATGTACTATACTGGTAGCAACCAATTTAATTGTTCCGTAGGATTCTGGTTTGTAACATGAAGTCTGGATGTTTGGCTTGTTTATTATGCAAATACACAGACTGTCTTTCAAAGTAGAGCTTTGACAGAGGAGTGCTTTCTGTACTTGAATGTCCACAGAGTACACCTTCTTAGCAATGCATCCAGCCTTTGGCCACATCTGACTGGGAAACTACCCCAAAAAATGCATCCCGCAAATATTGCTAGATTTTTATATATATTTTTACATATATACATACAGATACACATAGAATCACAGTGGTTGGAAAAGATCTTTAAGATGATCATGAAGTCCAACCATTAACCCAACACTGCCAATTCTACCTCTAACCCATGTCCCTCAGCACCTCATCTACCTGTCTGTTAAATCTCACCAGGGAAGGTGACTCCAACCACCTCCCTGGGCAGCCTGTTCCAATGCTTGACTGCCCTTTGGGTGGAGAATTTTTTCCTCAGATCCAATCTAAACCTCCCCTGGGGCAACCGGAGGCCATTTCCTCCTGCCCTGTCACTTGTTCCTTGGTTGAACAGACCCACCCCCACTTATATATATTTGAAGCTTGTATCTTTTTTGTATTTGATCTTTGTCGTGGTTATGTTCATGCTCAGAGGATTCAGGTACTTAAAATGGAACAGAGACATGAACGTTCTGCCTGTCCTGAGCACAGGCTGTGTTGGAAACTCAGTGTCTGCTTTACAGATAGGAAAGACTTTTGTAACTTGTTTAAGGATAATTTTATTGATGAACATGTCCTTTGTACCTCTAACTGACTTGTCTTTTGTAAAATAACTCTCTAGATACAGAAACTAAAAAAGCAAAAACTGAGGAAGATGAATCTGTGGAGGTAGAGCATGAAGATGAGCAGGATCCTGGAGAGAAAGAAGTGGAAGAGGAGGAGGAGGATGAAGTGCCCAGTTTACCACTAGGTCTAACAGGTATCTTGCATCCCCTTTGTCATAGGTGTGCAAAAAGCCAAGTTCTAACGCTGTCTGCCGGAGAAAGTTGCAGTTTTCAAATTAGCTTTACAAGTCAGGTGTTTGAATACAGCAGACCTGACACTGGCAGCTGTAGAGCTGTTACTCACTGTTCTTTGAAATTTGCATGATATACACACTTTTGTTAGTCTTAAAATTGCCACTGAAAAATCTGTTTTAAAATATATATGCACACATATTAACTGTAGAGGAAAAAGTCAATTAAGAGCAAGATGGAGGAGGACAACCAATAAATTTGGCAGGTGAAGTGGTGCATTCATGTTCATTATTAGCAGCTCTGTGTAGTATTCCTAGGAATACAGTAATACAGAGTATTTTGTCAATGTCTTTGGATTTTATGGTAGAAAGGAACAAGAAAAAGTCCTTTGTTTTGATTTTTTTTTTTTCCCACCTAGGTCAGTTTTAACTGGGTAATCTCAGAGGACAGATAGGACTGAAGAAATAAGTTTGAATATTTTTTACTTTTCCCCCTCGCTTCAGGTGCGTTTGAAGACAATTCTTTTAATTCCCTTGCTGGCACTGTCAGTGAGAATACACTGAAAGGAATAAGTGACATGGGTTTTACGCACATGACTGAAATTCAGCATAAAAGTATTAAGCCGCTGCTGGAAGGCAGGTAAGAAATACATCTTTTTAATCACTGTATTGACCCCAAATGTTGTGTAAATTTTGCTAGCAAGCTAAATACATGAAATGTGGCTTTCTGCAGCTAAACTGTTTTTTGTTTTTTTTTTTAAATATGTTTACAGACATTAATACACTATGTTAATTTATATCTGTGTTGTATGTGAAGAAATACATGGAAACTGCTTTGCACATGGCTTTGAAAGCAGGGAAGTCCGTTTTCACTGGCCTTGGTGTCAGTGTGTCTCAAAGACCTCATCTGACACTGTCACTAGAGACATGATGACCAATTGCTGTGGACCACATCTGCCACTGAGCTCTTAATACCAACTCTGCTGGTTTCCATCAATCCATGTTATGTTTTCACATTGTCAATGTTGTTCAACATAGGATTGTTCTTTTCTCTGTACAGTCAACTAAATACTTCTTTTTCTAACTTTGCTGCATACAGGGATATTTTAGCAGCTGCAAAAACGGGCAGTGGCAAAACACTTGCGTTTCTTATTCCTGCAGTAGAGCTCATCTACAAGTTAAAATTCATGCCTAGAAATGGTAAGGCTCTTCATTTCACAGTTGTGTGGCGCAGCCGTTTAGGGATGTGGCTAGGAGGGAGATTGGATGAGTTGTTGTAACTTATTCTTGTCCGATTTATGTGGTTTTTAGGAACGGGTGTTATTATTCTTTCTCCGACTCGAGAGCTTGCTATGCAGACCTACGGAGTTCTTAAAGAACTTATGAATCATCATGTTCACACTTATGGTCTGATAATGGGGGGCAGTAACCGATCAGCAGAAGCACAGAAACTTGGAAACGGAATCAACATCATTGTAGCAACACCAGGAAGACTGCTGGATCATATGCAGGTAGATAAAATATTGATGTTTAATCTGCATCATTAAAACAAGAAAACTCCTGTCCCTGTCTGACTCTGAATTTGGTAATCTTCTAGAACACCCCAGGTTTCATGTACAAGAACTTGCAGTGTTTGGTAATTGATGAGGCGGATCGTATCTTGGAGGTTGGATTTGAAGAAGAAATGAAACAGATCATAAAACTTCTACCAAGTAAGAAAAAAAATCTGTCTCTCCTGGATATCACATGACTAACATTATGTCTTCTTTATGACTCAATTATTATAAGAGAAGTCATTAATTTTTATAGTTCTGTAAATGCACTTGTGGGTGATTGTCTTACTCGGTCCTTTTTTCCTGGTAGATAGTATATATTACTTTATTTAATGTCATTTATCTGAAGGACACAGTTTTCATGCGCACTTTAGGGACAGCATTCTGTTCATAGAAGATACTTTCAGGCTGACATCTGTGTTCTGTCATTCATCTTCCCCAGCCCGTTTATTTCCTACAATTCATTGCTTCCTAATAAGGCTTAAATAGAAGGAAAAAGGTCTTCTATTTTCTGTATGAATTTTCTTCATATCTTCAAGAACAGTCGGTATATTAAGGAAGTTTATTTGAGTATTTACCTTAAAATTTTATTTTCCAAATTTTTCATTTGGTTATTCCTTGTAATTGATGTATAAAACACATTCTCATGGTCAACAATCAAAATGCAGAGAAAACCTCATGGAAATAGTAAATAAAAAAATCAGTGATAAATATTTTGGGGTTCCACATCTTAAATATTAAAATTCAGGTCTGCATGTTTAAAATGCAGATGTGTAAATCTAATAAATAACATCCTGTGAAGAATGTTAATGAACAGTGCTAAAAATAGAAAGAGAAGGAAGAGTGGGAAAATGACATGTTCTTTGTGAAGTGGAAAAATGATACTTTGCATGAGTTTAATTTGGTTTTGTCCCATTAGGAGGGAAATTCTATTTTAAAACAGACACTTCAAAATAGAAAAAAAAAATGGTGGCACCAGTTGTTCAGCAAGAACAATTGCTACTGTTCTTGCAGTTGTGAAATTAAACAGGCTAAGTCTGCATTTTACATGTACTTGTGTAACAAGAAAATGTTACAGGATCAGAATATATATTTGAGCTGAGAGGTGACAGGCAGGAGATTTCCTACACCTGCTCCAAGACTGTAGGTTTGAATTAGAATTTAATTGCAAAAAGTAGAATACTCGCTCAGGGAATTTTGCAGCTAGAGACTTTATGGTCTTGAGAAATTGAATTCTCCTTTAAAAACTGAGGCTGTCTTTCAAAATAAATATTTTTTCAGAGCGCAGACAGACGATGCTTTTTTCTGCTACACAAACCAGAAAGGTTGAAGATCTGGCAAAGATCTCTCTGAAGAAAGAGCCGCTGTATGTTGGGGTTGATGATAACAAGGAGACAGCAACAGTTGATGGTCTTGAACAGGTAAAACACAATTATTATCAAAAGGGGTATGATCTGTGAACATCCCAAGTCCTGTGTGTTTTTAACTGGGTTGTACAAACACTGTTTTAAAGGGTGTTTACTATCCTAATGGGCAAGAGCTATCAGTTGCCTAAGAGGCTTTATGCAGTCTGCTCGCTATAGTAAGTTACATGCATCCAGTCAATGTTTGCAGGACATGATATAAAACCTTATGAAACAGTAATATAGTTACTTACACTTGTATATTCCTGTCTGTATTACATACCTAAGCTCTGGTTGTCTTTCTAACTGTATTTTCCACATTACTGACTAGAGAGATATATACTTCAGATGTATTTCATTGTTGCTGCTTCAGATAATAGCTAAACTAAGTTGCACAGCAGTTTCTGTGTTTGTGCAGTTGGCATGATGAGTTTTGTTATAAAATTACCATTAGCTATGTATTACCTTGAGTAATACTGGTAGCAAGAATTATATAAAATAAAATTCTTAAAATAATAAATAATGTTAAGAACCCTATGCAGTTTATTCCTGCCTAATGTCTGTAATTCAAAGTTCTTGAAATGAATTTTTATTCTATAAACTAATTACTTTTCACTGAACTTATATTAGTTAGTATAAGTAATATACTAACTAGTATATATAGTAATTAAAATTACTTCTTCATATTTCAAGTTAGTACTGTAAGTTTCTTGCCCAGTTCATCATCTTTAGGAGCTTTTCATATACCAAGGTGAGGGACAGACAATAAATAGAATTATTTGTCCCAATCAATATAGCTGGAAAAATTAACTATTTTGCATATTTGTCTCACAACATAACACTTCCCTGATTTAACTGTATTGCTGAACCAAAAGTTTGTGCCATACTACTTTATTTAACAATAGTTAAAATTTTTCAGGGGTATGTAGTGTGTCCATCTGAAAAAAGATTCCTTTTACTCTTCACATTCCTCAAGAAGAACCGGAAGAAGAAACTAATGGTATTTTTTTCCTCCTGTATGTCAGTGAAGTACCATTATGAATTACTCAACTATATTGATCTGCCTGTTTTGGCCATTCATGTAAGTATTTTATTAATTGATTAATTAATCTGATAGTACCTGTAAGTTGTTACTGACCTTACATTTGCCTTGTTTATTTCAGTCCAGTTTCTAATAAACAGATACCCTGCTCACAAAACTGGTGATCATCTTGATTAGTCTGTAGAGGAAAGAGATAAAGTTGAAGTGTTGTTAACATAGTCTTTGCCTTGTTAATGTTGCTCTTTTCCAAACCAGGGTTGAACACTGATACTAATTTATTTTCTGTGTGGAGAAAGCTTTTTGTTTTTTTTTCCAGGGGTTGCCTTTCATAAGCACTAGAACACAATTTGTGGAGCAAATCTATTGTCAGAGGAATCCAAACATTCCAGTCCCTGGAGTGCTGGGTGCTTTTGCTAAGGCCAGGGTGGTGTTTGGTTTTACTATGCCAATTCTTACTATTTGGATGAGTGTTTTAAATTTTGATCAAGACCACAAAATGCATAATTTAGGAGGAAGAATTGACTGAAAGCTTTTGAAGTAGTTAAAACTGACCACAAATGTCCTTTCTCATTTTGTTCTTTTGGGAATTTTTTTGCTATACTTTGATAGAACTGTTACAAGTACTTATTCTTTTCTAAAAACCTGTAGTCTATCTAACATACTGCTAGCCTTGCAAATGTCCTTTTTCTGAACTTCAGGTATTTATGCATCCCTCGTGAAAAGAATGCTTATGTAACCAAATGTTTCATGCTTTGGAAGATAGGGTGTAACCTCTGAGAGATGCCATTTCACCTTGCCCTTTGCTATTGAATGTGGTAACGTTGTTCCTTCACTACGAAAAGGTCCTTCTTGGTCTCTAGAAGTCCATGATATGGAACAGTGCCCCACATTATTTTATATTTTTGGCAGTGATGTAATATTTGAAATGGGAAATGAGATTTAAACTGACAAACTGTCAGTTTTGTTTTGTTTTGGTTTTTTTTAGATGAAATCAGATAAAAAAGCAGGACAAATTTCATTTCAGCAACTGTGTTTGTTTCCTTTTAGGGCAAGCAGAAACAAACCAAACGTACTACAACATTTTTCCAGTTCTGTAATGCAGAATCTGGAATACTGTTGTGCACTGATGTAGCTGCCAGAGGACTGGATATTCCTGAAGTTGACTGGATTGTCCAATATGACCCTCCAGATGATCCAAAAGTAAGTTAAGGGTATAGAGAAACTTCACAGCAACAAATCATATCCTAGGTACAAGCAGAGTTGCAGAGAAGATCCGAATCTGTTGCTTTACACAGGTCAAGCTTCAGCCATTTTTCGTATCTAGCAGCTGATTTCTTCCACTTCCCTCCACCAGCTCTTAGGAAATGCTGCACCTAGCTGAGACCTTCATTACCTTTTCAGGAGTTGCTTTTTAAAACATTATTCTTTGTGCTGTTAAATTAATTTAAAATCTAATCAGCTAAACAACAAAACACTTCTCAGGAGGTGTATGAGTTTACATATGCATCCCTGAGTCTCCTAAACAGCTTTTCCAGTGGAAATTTGATTTTTACTTAAAAATCAGTATTCTTATTTGAATAAATACCCAGTGTAAATAAGGTAAACTCAAAAAACTCACAAGTTTTGACAATATACAGAGCAAATATACCAAAAGCAAAATTTAATTTTCAGTTACAGCAGACTAAGATATTTTTTCTTCAGTAAAAGGTAAAATACTTCTAGTCAGGGGTTCTTTCTCAGCCTAATTATATCTTCAGCACTTGGTTTCCCTCATCCATGTGTCAGTGCTAAGAAGAAGTCTTAAAAAATAGTGGATGATGCATTACACTAAATTAATGTTAAATTTGGAGGTTTTTTGTGGAGTTCTTTGATTATTATGTGTTTGAAAGACTGATTTGACTTGCTCTTTCTGATTCTTTCCAAAAGGAATATATTCATCGTGTTGGAAGAACTGCCAGAGGCATAAATGGTAGAGGACACGCTCTGCTCATTTTACGACCAGAAGAACTGGGCTTTCTTCGTTACCTAAAACAAGCCAGGGTAAACTTCTCTCTAGATTTTTTTTTTTTAACTGTGCAACAGGTTTTTAAAGGCAAAAACTGTAATGATTAATCAAACATTTTAATTTTTTAAGCAAAAAACATTCTGTTTCTTAGAAAATACTTAACATCTAACTTTAAGTCTAACATCAGCAGCGCAGAGGTAATACTGAGGTTATTTATAGTTGCTTTGAAACTGTGCAACTTGTGTTATTAAAAAAAAATAATTAATAATTTCCTGTGACCTCTCTGTGGAAGGACACTGGGAGCTTGACCATCGAGAGGAAATTAAAACCCAGATGTTGTTTCTGCAGTTTTAATTTTTTCTATTCAAAAAGTCAGTTGCATTTTGTTCAATTCCAAGAAGAGTGTATCTGCCTTCTACATGTCATCGTTGTAACGTGGTAGAACTGTGCATAGTTTCTTGGTTGCTCTCCGTATGGGCTTGTTTAGACTACAGAGTTTTGCCACTTGTAACTGAAGTGACACAGCTTCTAAAGCAAAAGCTGAAGAGGTAGAAGAGTTGTATTGAGCTTCTTTGGTACTCTAGCTTAAAGGAAATTATAATGCTGGCATATTGATATAAAGGCACTTTACAGATACAGCTGTGGTACTAAAAAAAAAGAATCTTCTGTTATCTAGTAGGTCTTTTTGTCTTCAGTCTTAAACACATTCACTCTTTACATAATATAAGTAATTTTGATACTTTTATTTCTTTTTTTCTTAAGGTACCACTAAGTGAATTTGAATTTTCTTGGTCAAAAATTTCAGACATCCAGTCTCAGGTATGAAATGACTTTATGCAACAGCTACTCTGGATATCTGTATGATAATTTACATGGAGAATGTTAGTCTATAACAACTGCAGTTTAAAAGTATTTATTGTTGTTTGGAAAAGTTTCTGTTGATCAGTACTGTGCAGTAAATCCTCTGGCCATATTGTCCCTTGATGACAGGAAAGCAATAAAATGTTTAGAAATCAAAGATTAATTTTAATATCTAGTACTGAAGTCTCATCAATTTGCTTGTAAGAATTGTTTTTTCACATTGCATCACAAAACCACAGTGATATAAACCTGCTTTCAACTCTTGAACAATGTTACTGTTTAGCATAGCAAACAGGATTTCAGTAGCTTTTAATGAATAGTTATGTATGTTCAGATTAATTATGAGTCATTTATGTCCTATAAGATGATTTACTCAGACTTCAGTGTGAAGAAAGAGATCGAGTACCAACACTTAGAAATGTTACTCTGTGCTCCAGGTGTATTTTTAACTAGCTGATGTTAATGAAGCCCAGCATCAGCTAAACTTGTTTTGTGCTACAAAAATAGCTGTGGAGCACAGAGTTTGATAGAATAGTGTAGGTAGTTCTGTAGATGTCAATTTCTGTTGTTACTTAGTTCTGTGAATCATTCTTTTGATAAAGAGCTCTGTAAAGCTTCTTTTCAGTAGCTTAAATTTGAAATAGCAAGTACAAGAAGCAGTGAAGACAGTCCTTAAGGAAAGAGGTTCCTAGTTAAGAATAATTAGGAAGTAATGATGTCTGTTGTAACTTAATTTTCCTATGCTGTATTTAAACATCAAATGAGACACTTGGATCTAAAGAGTATTGGAAACTAGCCCACAATAAAAAAAAAGTCTCAGTCCACACTAGTGCATCTGCATTTTTGTCTTAGAATTAATACTGCTTATTTGACAATGTATTTGCACCATAATAAATAAGACTACATTTACAATTACGTGGCATGGTACAGTTTAGATGTCTGACTTAAAAGTATTTCTGTCATTGTCCATTAATTCTGAATACACATAGTTTCGTGGTGTGGCTGCAGTTTTATACTCCTTGATTGACTTGTTTGGGACAGACAGCCTGATTTAATATTTCTGTAAATTTTCCTATTGCTGAGGCTTTGTACTGTAATTCAGTTTCAGGTTTTTTTGTCCCTGTGTTTATAAAAGCACTCTGTGTGTACATGAGCTTTTCTGTCACAGGGCAACTTTGCTGAAGTGAATAGTGAATATCACTGCAACTCAGACAGTAAATAATCTGCTTGAATATAATTTATACAGTTGTTACAAGTATAATTTGGTATGTCTTTTGGTTTTGTTTTGGTTTTTTTTCCCCCCCTCACCAGCTGGAGAAACTGATTGAGAAGAACTACTTCCTACACAAGTCAGCCCAGGAAGCATACAAAGCTTACATTAGAGCGTATGACTCCCATTCTCTGAAGCAGATCTATAATGTCAATAACTTGGATCTTCCCAAAGTCAGCCTTTCATTTGGTTTTAAAGTTCCTCCGTTTGTTGACCTCAGTATCCTTTTATACTGCAGTGTTTCAAAGCTGAATTTCTGCTTTATAAATGTTAAATGGAACTTAGTGAAGTTCCTATGCCACTTCAGATTCTGGTTTGGTTTGGTTTAGTTTTTGTTTTGTTTTTTTTTTTTTACTATTACTTATATAAATGCATCACGTTTCAACGGTGGTTTATCAAGGAAAATGTTAAATTGCAATTTTTGCAGTTTTAATATTTGCTTTCAAACATTGGTGTTTTAGTGCATGTACAAGCTTCAGTTGCTGCAGGGTAGCAGACACTGGAATATTGCACACGTTCTAGAGTAATGTTCTCCATGCAGAATTGTTTTCATTGGAAGGTATGTGCTTAAGCTTAATAATCATGGAATATTGAAATAGAGGGGCAAGAGCATGAAATAGAAGACTGTCTAGATTACTGTCAAACCTGCCAGTGGATGGAATTTGAAGCAGTAGTACTTTGGCCAACTTAGTTGGACAACTGGAGGAATAAAAGCATTATTTAGAACCACAGGCACAAAGTTCTGATTTTTTCCTGTATTTATGCAACTCAAATTTTTGTATAATGCTCTTATTTTTAACTTACTATAATACTTTTTACAATACCAATATTTCAAATTATTGCTTTTTATGTTCTTTAACCAATAAAATTCCAGATGTGAACAGCAACCATGGCAGAAGACTACAGAAAAGAGGTGGAGGTGGGGGATTTGGTTACCAGAAATCAAAGAACGTCCACAAAGCTAAAATCTTCAAAAACATCAGCAAGAAATCGGACAATCGTCAGTTTTCTCGTTAATCATACATTCATTAAAGTGGCTTATGGCATTGGAATAGACTGCCTTGACCAAAACCATCTGACAGTTACTTCCCATTTCAACTGCTTTGGTCACATTTTTAGGGCTCTTTATGGTTTTGTTTCTGGGAACATCTTTTATCGTTCAGTTCACAAAGACTGTTTGGAAGGGAGACTAAAGCTAGAAAGGGAGATTATTGCCATCTAATTTTGCCATGCTTGTTTTAAGGAAGAAGATAGTTGGATATAATTATCTTACGTCAATACAACAGAGTTTTTTTATTAAAGAAAGAAAAAATACTTTCAGGTTTTATAGAAGAATTTGCTTTTCATTTACCCTTTTTTCTATGCACGCATCTGAAAATTCTTGGAGTAGGCAGAATGCAAGGACACATTACAGTGAGATAAAAAAATTGCTCACATGAATCACTAATCACGTGTATTTAATGCTACAGAATTCAACTTTGTTCATCAAATATACGGAAAAACATAGGAAAACTTTAGAACAGAACGTACTTTTGAATAATTAAGACTGTATGAACTTGTGATTAATTTCAGTCATGATGTCTGTATAGCAGGTACAGTGTGCAAGATTAAAACAAAATCTGTTATACCACATCTGGGACGTGCTTCATACTGTTTCTTTTAATGTGATAAAATGGTAACATTCTAGTGAAATGTTTGGTTTTCCTTCATGTTCTCTTTAAGTCTGAATTTATCCCTCTGGTACTGTGTCTCTTATGAATATGCAAAGAAAATTAAGAAAAGCAGATTACATAAATTGAAGCACTCGGCCCAGATTTTTTTTTAAATGCTCCATAACCTTGATGCAGTGAAAATTTTTGCAGTTGCATCTTGTAAATTACAAAAGTTAATTGATTTTTAGTCTTAGTTTATGAGATCAGTGATGGGCAGAGTCAAAGGTACTATGAGAGGATTGCAGGGGTGGAGAGACTTGGCAAAGAGAAAAGTGAAATGGGGTATAAATATAATAGAAGGACATTTTGAGGGAGAAGTGCAAAGGACTGAAATGGAAGAGGCTGGAGTACAGATTGCAAACAATAAACATGGAGACTAAAAGATACTTAAGTTGGGCAGAAGTAAAGTAACTATTACATATATTATTTTCATATTTCTACCCTTGTAGTAGTAGGTTAACTATTCCTATGAGGCTGCAGTGGTGCTGGGCAATAGTATTTCAGAAATGCACGTCCATCAGTGCAGGGAAAGACTAAAATGTCACAGAATCCAGAAATCTGGGCCCTGTGTGATAACAGTAAAACAGCTCTTAATTTACATCTGAAACGTAACCCAGGACCAATTATGAATACAAAAGCATGTGCAGTTATTCCAGTATAAACTGTAATGTTATTCCTTAGGTCTTTTGAAGTAGCATGTCAGATTTAAAACTATTATATGTGCATTGAGGTACTGCAGAAAAATGCTGACTTTCTTTTCACCCTTAGAGAAAACGGGGTGGGGGGGAGGGTACTGTGGGGGTTTTTTTGGTTTTTTAAATAGTATGACCATTCTGTTGTTGGTACTTCCACCATTCAGAACTGAGTGTTGCCTTTTTTTCCTTTTTTTTTTTTTTTTTTGTGAAACAGCTGACTTAGCCCTAATGGTCTTTTCAAGACTTTTAATTGAAATTTGCCATATATTAAGAACTTCTGATACATCAAAATATTTTAGATTGGTTTTGTTACTAGGATTTGAATGTCTCATGCTTCCAGGATTGCAATGAAAAAGCAAAATCTGCTCTGAAGGGTCAGCAATACTAAGTACGTGATGCCTGGCTCATTGATTCTGGGTTTGCTTATGCATTTATAAATAACAGATTGCAAAATAGTTCTCATGTCTGTTTATTAGTAGCACATTTTAAGAATCTAAAAATCTACATCGTTGCACAGTTGGAGGGTTCTGTACATCTGCAAGCTGTGCAGCTACAGTATGGGAATTAGATTATAGTGAAAGTAACTCTGAGGGACTCATTAGATGAACTGCAAAATGAATTCCGTGAGAAGAGATGTAAGCAAAGCTGCAGTAAACCACTGTAAATACCAGCGTGTGGTTATGTGGGTACAAGCAGTGTGAATGAAGTAGCGTGGGGTATTTGTTTGGAACAGGCAAAAGCTGAGATGATGGGCATGGTCAGTGACCACCTGTCAGACCGTGTGCTGCAGAGCCAGAGCTCCTTGGGCTTAAAAGTGCATCAGAATTCCTGCCGCTTCTCTGTGTCGGCAAAAACCTGCTTCACAGAGAACTGCTTTTTTCTGTCCCTCATCATTCTGGGAACAGAAGGCTGACTGTTTCAGGGCAGCTCAGCAACCTCCATCTCCACCTGATTTTTCCTTTGGAAGAGATGAGGCACTGTCAATTTCTGAATTCTGATACAAGGACAACTGAAAAAATGGGGGTTTGGCACGAGTCTGCACAACTCTCTTGAATGTTTGGTTTGCATTTTCTTATATACCCTAATACGAAGAAATCTTTGAAATAATTTCATCTAGGATATTAAAAGACTGCGTGGTATTGCTCTGGAGTAGTACTAGCTTACCCTAAAAAAAACCCAAACCCACTGTTATTGGACATTATAGATATGTAATAGCTGCACAGTCTGTAGTAACTACACAGTCTGCTATTTCACACTGTAATTTCCTGATTAAGCAGGAGAAATTCCTGAGCTGAGACTAAGTGGGAATTAAAAGAGAAGGGCTTCAGCTTCCTGGCTTATGCAGGTGCAGTTACTTTTCTCTTTGTTTATGGAATCAGAAATGAAAAGTAGTTTCTGATGAAGTATCCGTGTGTATCAGGCAGCATCTATTCTATTACAGTATTGCAAGAAGTTTAAAAGATCGTCAGACTGATTGGAAATCTAACGTTTCCTTTGCAGCTTACCCTGTTATCAATCTTGTGAGCAGTTAATAGACCTCGGCCATCAGACTCTCAAGGCTTGTCTCATAACAGTGACTGATGGCTTGGGGACTAATATTGTGTGCCTTGAGAAATTGCATTCTTTCTCTGAGAACCTTGACAAAGAAATTGGACTCTTTAAACCACTGAAGGGGGTGATCAAAACCATCCTGCTTGAACTGGAAGACTTTTTTTGACAGTTCTTGAAACAGGCCCATAAAGGAGAATTCCATTGCTGAGCTACTGCTCATAATCATGAAAAATCTTGTCATGATATGAGTTTCCTGTGCCATAATGCTGCCGAGTTACAGACAAAGCAGAAGACTAGTCAGTGTTGCCATCACATTTTTCAGGGTGAATGTCACAGGTAGAGGGCACGTTTATTGACAGTGTAGAGCAAGAATACTTGAGAACTGGATAAAAATTACCTACTTAGGTCTGCTGTAAATAAGAACTATGTTTATATTTTGGCAATAATTAGCCTTTTTGTTTCATGTATGAGTTGATGACTCACTTTAAGTAAGCTACTAAAGCTTTAGATACAATAGTGAATTGCTTTCAAGCCAGTCATCTATGGCTCAGGGGAAGCAAGCTCTTACAAGGAGGGTGAAAAGGACCATTTGATTTAATAAATAAATAAATAAATAAAAATTAGTAGAGGTCTTCACTTTCTTCCCACTGTGAAGGAAGGCAGGGTACTGACAGAATACAGCACAGGTCTGTGACTTGTGTTTTTAGTTCTACCACTGTCCTGTTTCAGAGACAGTTGTTCAGTTACTTCAGCCTCTCAAAACTTACAAGGGATTTTACAGAGATCTAAAAACCTAACAACTAGAAAAGAGACAATTATTAGCCCTTAACAAGTGGGTTGGTTGGTTTGTTTTGTTTGTTTGTTTGTTTGGTTTTTTTCCAAACTAAAATAGCAATGCTGAAAGAAGCCTAGAATCAACTGCCTGGGCATGCAGAATAAAATCTGTCTCTGCTCTTGACTTTTGCTAGCTTGATTTCCTCAGGATTTTAGATGCTTGGCTTGACAGGAGAATTCATGCAACTGTTTCTGATGGTTTTGTTTGCTCTAGATTTATAGAAGATGTTGAGCCATGACAATAAGAATCCAGCCTCTTGAACTGGAATGCTCTTTGCTTCTAAAAAATTTGCTGTCTTGCATCAAAGCCATAAATACTATAATGTTGCTTGTGTCAAATCTCTTTATTGCACAGCCGTGTGGGGAAGAGATTACCTTTGTTTTCTCCTCTTAGCCACCATGATAAAACTTTTGATATGGAGTTGTGAGGAGAGGTAGAGGAAGGATGCCTTTAAAAGAGTGGAAGACAAATGGAAAATTGGGGGGCTGCCTAGACACACACTCGCTTTGCTATAACTGTGTCATCCAGCTTAAGGACTGCATTCACCTTTCAAAAAAATATCTGAGCATACTGGACAATAACAGTCCATCTTCCCAAACACTTTTGGAAGCTACAACACTGAAAAACACAGCCATCTACTATTTTTTTTCCCAGTTGGTCAGAATTAAAAAGAAGAAAAATTTAGGCTCTGCACAGTCTTGTATCACAGCTCCAAAACTTCTTCCAAATGCTCCTGTCTATTTTGGCTGTCATCTGAAGATGTTTAGCCACTCAGGTCTTTCTGAGCTCTTCTATGAGTGGCTGCGATCACCTATGAATGCTGAGAATTACAGGAATATTAAATGTGTTATTCTACAAAACTAAACCTAGATGTTCACTCATAGGAGCTGACAGGCAATGTGAATTTGTAAGAGTTATTGAATCTTCCTTAAAGGTATTGGACAAGTGTTCTTGATATACTGTCATTTCTAATTAATAAAGCCCTTTCGGTACAGAAAGAGAAAATAGACTTGAGTAACCAGTAAGTTCTGCCTGGCACCTTGCTCTGATTGTTATTAAGAGCCATGAGAATGTATTTACGAAGGTACATAGTAACACTAATACCTACAAAACGTAATTTGAGAACATAAATGTAACCCTAAAATTATGTTTATTAAAAAAAATATATAAAGCACCTTTATTTTTCCATAGAAATTGTTTTCAGTGATATCTTTACATTCTTCT